AGACCACATTTGGAATATTGTGTTCAGTTTTGGGCTCCTTACCTTAGGAAAGACATTGAATTGTTGGAAAGAGTTCAGAGAAGAGTTACTAAAATGGTGCCTGGGATGGAGGGGTTGTCATACGAGGAGGGGCTGAAATCTCTCAAATTGTTTTCTCTTGAAAAAAGGAAAATTAATGGGGATTTCTTTGAGATGTTTAAGATTTTAAAGGAAATTGATAGCGTTGATGCATAATCTTTTTTCATATTTAACAGTGAGGATAGTAGGATTAGGGGACACAAATATAAATTTTAGCAGGGTAGGAGTCATCTGCAGCTAAGACAGTTTCATTTTTCTAACAGGGTGATTGGCCTTTGGATGTTGTAGAGGCAGTAAATTTAAGTGTGTTTAAGAAAAAGCTTGATAAGTATATGAATAATAAGGGCTGGCTTTAAGATTTTTTTTTTAAATGATTTATTTAGTTTAGAGAATGGAACAGCCAAGATGGACGAATAGGTCCCATGTTGTCCCGATACATTATGTACAGTCATAGATTTAATCTAACTGATTTTACTATCCTCTTTTTTTTAAGTAATTTAATAAATATTCATTTGCATGTATGCCTTGTGATGTTATATTTATAGTAGTACTCTCTCAATTGGAGGTCAGCTAACCCAACATGCTTTGTCTCCAGTAGTGCATTTTGCAGTACATTTTCATTCATTGATGTACTTTGAACTAGGTTAGATAGCTGACATAGAACTTTACTAAATGTATCAGTTAACTGTAGTTTTTAAAGAAATATTTATTGGTTACACTTTGAAACATTTTTAATTCTCACATTAATTTAAAAATTCCAAATTGTTTTACAGCAAGTCTTGAGATAAATAACCATGACATATGTTACTGTTTAATTATAGCAGTAGTAGAAGAACAATGCTATTATTGTAGCAAAAAGCAATGCATATATAGTTACAAAATAATAGCTAAAAATTTAATGGATAATTTAATCAAACCATAAAATGCAAGAACATTGATTTGCTAACTGAAGTGCAACTAAGTTGAATCTCAGAAAAAGAAATAGAATATACTGTACTACTATGAAAAGTATATAACAACAGCTTATGAGCTGTCTTTGAAGTTTGGTTGTATTGAACAGATTTTAAGTAACTAATAAGCTGTTAGTAATAAACATTGTAACATAACTTTAGAACTGGGTGGTTAACTCAATTAATTGAGATATTAATTACTTATGAGCATTTGTTTACATCAATTAGAGTCACATAGAATAACCAGTTAATTGTAGTTACAATTAAATTGATTCATGTCACACAAGTAATCAACTAGTATTTCTGATTATTACAGTTTTTGAGTAATTGAACTATCCAGTAAATGAAATTATGGTTAAATTTATTAATGTTATAAAGATAATCAACTTATTGAAATTAGTTTCTGATTATTATTGTATTTGAGTATTCCAACTATCCAGTAATAAAAATTACATTAAGTTGATAAGTGTCACAAAAATAATCAAATGATTGAAATTAGCATTTCCAGTTATTACAGTTTTTAATAGTTATTCCAACTATCCAGTCTTCATATATATAAATCCAGGTAATGTGCTTTTTTTTGTCGTGAAAAATATTTTTTTCCACAATTAGTTCTGGTGGATATATTTATTTCACTGTATCAAGAAAAACCTTGATGATCAGTTAAAGTAATATCAAAGCTTTGTTATAGTTTTTCTTACTAAGATTTGCTACTTGTGGGCTGAAGTTACCTCCAATAGATATTACTTGTACTTGCTGAAAGACATGTTATCCAAAGTGTACAAATATGTTAAGTAAAAAAAAGATGTAGCTTGCAAGAAATCATTTATTATGAAACAGTGGTAATGTTTATTAGTAGCATTGTTGTAGAAACATCTGTTTTCATTAACAGAAAGCAATAATTTACCAGAATTATTAATAGATTTTGAAATTGTTGCTGAAAGATTCATTTTGATTTTATCAGTAGGGCAACTAATGTAGAGATTACTAAAATCAAAATTGATATTGTTTTAGTCTAAACGAAAGGGTTCATGGGTGCTGTATTAGCATGTTAGATATAAAATGGTTAAGGTGCAGTGTTTTGGTAGTTTGACTTACAAGAGGTTAAAATCTGATGTTGTTATCATGATGAATGAAAATAATTTAGTATCATGTACAGTTATTATCATTTTGAATATTATGGCTTCAAGTTCTATTCTTATATTAGTAATTTGAATATAAAATACTTAAAGCATGCTGTTTGAATAGTTTGAATGATAAAGGATTAAATTCCACTTTTATTAATACTTTGAATGAAAAATATGAAGGTTTACTGTTATTAGCACTTGGAATGAGAAAGCACTAACCTGTGCTGTAATAGTGCTTTGAATATAAAAGGGCTAAAGTATGTAATTATAATAGTACTTTCAATGAGGAAGGGTAAATAGTATTGCTGAATGACACTTAATATTTTTATTTTTAAATATATTCCTTGAGGTTTTGGTGTCTTATTTAAGAGAAAGTTTATGTAGATCATATTATACTTGATATGAGACTTCTGTGAACTAGTGCATCTGCCTTATGAATATGAAACAGTTTAAGAGTTTTATGTAAATATAACATTGTATATCTGAAATCTTATTAAACTTTCATTGTCAGTTGATATTTACTTTCAAATAACTTTACTATGTTTATTTGTCATTGTCAGGTTTTTATAGAGCCATAGTTCTTTACGGTAGGTGTCTATGAGTTGTTGGCGATAAATTTCAACAATAAATGGACAGCACACAATCCACTTGTTTTAAAATAATATATTAAAACAAGTCAGATATATACACAAATATACACCTGGAAAAAAGTTAAGCACCCCCGTGTTTTTTTTCAAGTGATTCAGATTCGACGTTCTTGTGGACTGATTATAAATTACCATTCAATCTAAACGTGTTTATCAAATGAAATTATGCATTATTGGGCACAAGAAAACAAGATTATCACCGTAAAATAACAATTTTTAATTTACATATCATGACATCAAAATATGGACAGTTTTCAC